TTGGCATTAGACCTGCCAGTCTACTTGCAGAGGGCTCTAGCAATGTAGACAAGCTGGTCGAATCTCCCTAGACATTATTCGGACTGATTCGGTGCTGGTTTGTACTTTTTTTGGTGCGATGTTAGACTAGCTAGTCGGACTTCCCTCTACTGTCCTTCGGACCAATTCGGGACTGATTTTCATTTTTTGGATTCCTGTTCAAGTTAGAAGTCATGCTCGGTTGTATTCGGGTTTAATTGTTAGGATCTTTGGTGAGATTGAGAGAGAGATTCTTGCCGGTTCCTTCAAGAAAGCAGTATAGGCCGAATGTTGTATATAGTCTCTAGAATAAAGGAAACCCAAATATCTCAGGGCATGTGCGGTCGTCAACAATAATAAATTTTGCGTCTTTTCATCGTGTTTGCTTTTCTGCTAATTGTTTGGTTTGTGTTTGAATATAGTCCTTCCCGGTGTCTCCCAATTGTCGAGGTGATAGATTGGCCTAGCAAAATGAAGGATGCCTAGTTGGGAAATCCGAACAAAGTTCCAAACTATTTCATTAGCACTTGAGCCGCCAAGATTCCCAAAAACATCATTTTTTTTAAATTATTAGAGTAGGATGTGGCCTGCGAATCACGTGCCATAAGTGAACTAGCTTTCTCAGTTAACTGACGGACTAGAATACCCTTAAATTGAGGGGAAAAGCGAAATCATACGCGCCGCACACACGCTACTCTGTATCTCCTTAATTACAAAATTTCTTTACATGACAAAGTTGTGTTGAGTTCGTTGTCTTTCTCCGCTCACACGTCCCATTCCTCTGGTTGCTCAGGGCTCCATATAAACAGAGCACCACCAAAAATGCGTGATCAAGATAGCCAAACAGACACGAAGCCCAGGGTTTCTCCTATATAAACCATAACCCTAAAGATCATTTACCACTCCATTCAAACCAATTCAAGAAGAAGCAATGGCCACCTGCAAGTCTCTTGTCAACCTCCAGAGTCTCACTGCATTCATCATCCTGCTACTAGCTGTGAGCTCGATGACTCCAGCAACATGCCAGCAAATCAGTCCTCCAGAATGCACTGATCAATGTGACCAGCAGTATCACGACTGCAAAAATGCATGCACAAGAATTGACCTGGGGGACAAGGGTGACTGCTTTAAGAGTTGTGCAAAGTCCGCTGCTGGTTGCTATCAGAAATGCTACTAATATTGCTCACCTACGTCATAATAGTTATCTGAATAAGTCGGAAAGTAATGCAGATGGTAAAATAAGGAAACGGGTTTGTAGGCTGTATAAGAACCCTACAGGAGCTAATGATGTTATGGATATATACATATGAATTCCATTTTATATCTTTCATATTTCTCACATTTCATTTGATTCGATATAAGATTCTTCATAATTGAAATGTTGAAATATTTTCATGATCTTCTCGCAGAGCAACTTTCGCAGCTTAATGACATCAAATCCTAGTACGTGGTCTAGTTCTCTAAAAAAAAAACTTTTTACCCATATGCAGAAGTCGAGAATGAAGACCACATTATATACATTTGCAGTTAAATTAAAGATCAGAATCTTTTTTCCCCTTCAAAAACGAAGGTGGGATTCCTAACCTCCTGATAAAAGTATGTACTGTCTAATATCCCAAATATTATTTACACATCCATCTTGTTTCGAGTCTAATAAATATATCGAACATGTCATACCTAAAGTTTCAGCAGATATTTGTACAATATCTGCACAAAACAGATAGTATAACTCTGACCTCTTCCCATCATTCAGACATATCTCTTTTAGCAACATGTTATCCAAGATAATACTATTACATTTCCTGCCCTTTATAGCCATGTTCGCATCAAATTTAGTTCACGCTTTCGCTGTTCTCACCACTGAAGTCTTAAAGAGAAGAAAAACGTTACACTTTCTAGGTATTTAGTCACCTGTAAAGTAATAGAGTGTAAGTAAGCAAAAAATTGATGAATCATGCAGATATTAAATACGACCAAAGCCCTTTTCTGTTCATGCACATTTCATTTACCTCTACCATCGTTTAGGTTTCATAATGTCAAGAATTTTTTATCAAATGTGTAATTAATTAATTAGTTTTTGTTCTATGGGTACATAAAAGTTTACCTTTCTGTATAATATCCCAATCCTGTATCTCATGTTGCAGCAAATAAAATATTTAGGAATCTATGGCATTGATCAAGTCTATTTTAAACCTTCATAATATAGTTGCACTTGCCATTTTCTGCTCATCGCAAGCTTCACCAACTCAGACTCCTATTTATGTGTTTATCATTAGGATTTGCAGTATAATCAGTGAGATGCATGTTCATCCATGAAATGAGACAAGGATACGTTGTTATACGTCCAAGTGTGGTCAGTCTGCTTCTTTATGCTATGCAAACAGTTCCTAGCGCTCCATTAGCTTTGTTAAACTTGGATAAAATCTTAGACTTACTTCATAACTTTAGTGATCAGTTGATGCAGTGCAGTATACTTTTCGTAGCTCTATCGAATGAATTTGATTAGTCAACTGAGACAAGATGGTAAACGTTAGGCCTTTTTCCAGGTGTTACAACATATACACGCCTTAACGAAATTAGATTTAATGATACATGTAAGATTCGTCTCCGTTTACTAGCCTTTGTGTATGTCCATGAACTTTACAGCCAAGGTTTTCTCATACACCAAATAAGAGGAAGGAAGCGGTTTGGGTGGTTGTAGGATGTGCTGGTTTTGTTTGTTTGTTTTTTTCCTTTTTTTTTTGGGTTTTGGGGGGGAGGGGGGAGGGGGGTTTCAATTTTAGTTCGCTCACTGTTCCTGTATTATATTATGCTTTGTTTACTATTATGGATACAAGCACGACAAACAATTTTTTTGGTAGCTACTATGAGAAGTATAGGCTTAACCAGATCGATATTACGAAGCATGGTTTTGCTGAAAAAGAAAGTCCTACATAATTTCAATATCTATACATGTATCATTCATGTTCATGGACAGAGAAGAGGCATATATACATTTGACGACATTTAAAACTAAATGGCTATGGTGATAGTATAGTAACTCCCATCTTTCCGAAGAATAGATAGCAAACTATATTAATATATAATAGCCGGATGACAATTCTAATATGCATTACATTACATAATCCAAGTTCAAACTCCAAACTTTAAAATAATAAGTCTCAAAATTGCAAAATTGCATATAAAAATTAATATAAGTACAAAATTATAGCAGAAGAGACAATTAATTAATTATCATGCAACCAGCTTTAACGATCAAGATTAGGAACGCACCAGAATCAGTATGCAACGGATTGGATAGTAATTCAGGTGCAGTAATTGAGACAACAGTTAATTGGTCCCTTTTATGTAATTTTTTACCCACACATAAGAATTTCACTGTATGTGAATTAGGCCCAAAGTTGATGGATTAGAAAGCTATATTCACTCATGCATATTCCATTCCCCCTTTCCTGTTGTTAACGGTTCTATTCTTACAACTACGTACTGCACCAAACGCGTGATCAATTAGTCGTTTAAACTTAGACGTAGCACTCTATATATAAAACAATCTATAGCTCATTAACCCTAAACACAAGTCTAAAAAAAGTCATGGCTTTCACCAGTTCTCTGCTAAACTGTCGTAATATTGGTGCCCTTGCCATTGTGCTAATTGTTGCAAGCTCAATAATACCAATAACAAGCTATTCATGCTTCGACAACTGTGATCTGCAGTATAATCACTGCCGTGCTGCATGCTCCTCCATAAAAGGAGACCAGGGTACATGCAATGCGAGTTGTTCGGAGTCTGCTGCTTCCTGCTATGCAAATTGTTCCTAGAGCTTGTGTGCATGTACTACGAAATAAAATTGTATTTCTGTATTAAGGTAATTAGTCAATTGCCTATATTACAATGATGAATTGTACGGATTACTCATAGATCACAAGGCTATGATTTTCAGTATCAAGCCCAGAGAAGTTGGCCAACTAAGGTTAAGGCTAAAGGCTGGTATTATTACAAGCTGAACGCATCGTGCGAGATAAAAGAGGAACAAAAGAAGACTAAAAGAAAGGGGTGAAAATGCATCTCTAAATCAAATCAATGGCTAGTTTAACTTCTTACTTTTGCAAACATCTCTAGTACAGCTTTCATATGCTTGAGATATATTATAAAATTTATGGATATGATGGAGTATCCATCAAGTATCTGATACTCATAAGTCAAAAACAAGTAAGTGTCCTTTAAGTTTGATGTCCATGAAAGGAAAATAAGCATGCCAATTGTACGATGAATTTTGAAATTTGAATATTCTAACATACAATAATATCACCAGGAATAATGTAAATATCCAGTTTCTTTTTTCCGCCATCAACATGAATCTTCAAAAGAAAAACTGACTTTCATATAAATAATTTATTATTTATATAATTACAAACAATAATTTATGCATACAAGAAACCATATGCCTTACCAAATGAAAGTAAGGTCACAAAGTTGTTTCCATGTTTTGAAAGCACCATCATCCTGCACCAGCTCTAGTCTTCAGAATGCAGCTCTCCATCAGGTATGAATATCCTCGAGTCTAGACTTCTAAAACTTCCTCCCGATAACACCCTCGGCGTATACCTTATGTGTCAAACGGTTGCAAAAACAGCTATCCATACTGATACAGTTAATCGATTTCTTTCCCCCAATACATCGGAGCTGCCACCAACCATAGATTCCAATTTTTCTTCTGAAGACAACCATAACATTCTTCTAAAGTTGCCTGCAGAGTTACCTCTTATAAACAGCATGCTCTAAGTGAATATTAGGAGAAATTGCAGAATTGGTACCTTTTATTTGCCTATCAACATACTTACACTTCAGCTAGATGCTCCAGCAATTGAATAAAAGAACACATTAATCTCTCCCACAGCTGCCACGAATAAGACAAGGATCAAACTATAGAAGAACCACTGCCGTAACACTAGCATTATGTACGAGGAAGTTCCTTATCCCCACCCTTTAGAATGATCACTGTCTTTATGCTAGCTTTATGTATGGGTGGGAGTTTCTTATCCCCAGTCTTTAGCATGGACTTCTCAACAACGAGATCATCACTGCCTTTATGCTAGCTTTATGTATAGGTGGGAGTTTCTTATCCCCAATCTTTAGCATGGACTTCTCAACAACCAATTCAGAATTTTCTGTCAGAGAGAGTGATTCATCACCTGCTTCGAGAACACCGAGTAAGTTTTACGAGCTTGATATTGGATGCTTCCACAAAATTTTGATCTCCTGATATTATTCTCCTCTTAAATAACGCACTCCAACTCTTGGAATCTTGGCAAATAACAGAATCAAATTATTCTCGCATATGCAACTAAGCTTTTACCTCTCTACCAGTAATCCATACAAGAACAAGCACCATCTTTAAATAAGTGGAAACGATTCCGATCCCTCATTACAATTTCCCTGTCGTAAACTTTAGAGATAAGTTTCATTAGATGGTGACAGTCCCTGCATACACGAAGGTTCTTGATGATTCTTATGGTTGCTCCAAGTCCTGTATGCAAAAGTCCAAAGGAAATTGCCAGCTTCTCACTATGAACGGACAATATATGCCCTTTCTCCTCTTCTTCAATGTCAAGCAACACCTGCTTTGTGTCTGGGGAGTAACCGACCTCGACCTTCAGCCTCTCTGATACCTCTATAAATTTCTGGTAAATTTTTTTAGACTCTGGATGAGACTGGTCGCCAGCAACAAACTTGTGAAGGATGCCTTTGAGCTCTATCATGCTTGTTCCTGGTATCTTTGAGATCCCCTTGTTTGTCATCATGCTTCTTATTTTGCTAGCATCTTCCCAACGATTTATCGATGCATAGATGTTGGAGAGAAGGACATAACTGTTGAAGAATAAGAGAAGCAATCAGAGTTCTGCCACAAGGAAGCGAAAGATTATAAGCCTATAATACAGTTCACCCCTCCTTTTGTCAAGAGAGATAATACAACAAATATCATTGCAATGTGATAGTTGCAACATTATGAAGATCACAAATATTACAACCGCAAGATTTCAGCATTTGGAAAATAAATTGTTAACCATTAGCCTCACAGTTGCAGAAACCAAGTTTAAAAACTTGTTTTTCTTCAACATGAAAAGAAATAGTTGTGCACATAGTTAATGAATGATTAATTACCTTGGTTAACATCATAGTCTACTTAAATTTTAATGGCTACCTTTATATCCACAATATCTATAAGTGTTGTAGCCAGACCTAAAATTTAGGAGTTCCCTCTAAAGGATGAAGAGAAGTTCACACATTCAACAATTTATAGAAGCTTTTGATTTTTGGTTTTTAATGATTACCGGCCACTATGCTTAGGTTGAAGGCTTAAAAGTCGTCTTCCAACATCATCAGCTACCCCAGAGTTGCCATGGATTCGACATCCACCAAGCAATGCTCCCCATACCGGGGCATTAGGCTCCATCGGCATAGATTCCATCAGCAGTACTGCCTCATCCAACAACCCTTTACGAGCTAAAAGATCAATAACACACCCATAATGTTCCACTTTTGGCTCAACACCATAAGTCACCTTCATACAATCGAGCAAATATTTACCCTCTTTCACCATTCCTGCATGACTACAAGCACTGAGCACCGCCGCAAATGTCATATCATCCGCTACACTCCCACTCTCCCTCATTTCATCAAGAAGCCGAAGGGCTTCTCTTGCTTGTCCATAGACAGCGACACCCGCTATAATAGCATTCCAAGCTAAGAAATCTTTATCCACGATAGCATAAAAGATTTGGTATGCTCGTGATATCTCCCCACACTTAGCATACATATCAACAAGCGTAGTGGCAAGAATCGTATTGAGCTCAATCTTGTTTTCCTTGATGAATTTATGGACCCACTCTCCTCGTTCCAATGCACCCAAATGTGCACAAACTGAGATCATGCTAACCACAGTCGCATCAGTTGGTTTCACACCAGAATGCTGCATCTCATCAAACAACTCAAACGCCTCGTCACAATTCCCGCTCTGCGCATAGCAAGCAAGCATCGTGTTCCAAGACACAACATCGCGATGAGGCATCTCTCTAAACACTCTCAAAGCTCCCTCAACATCTCCACACTTGTTATAACCACCAAGAATCGAGTTCCAAGAAACCAAATTTTTGCACGGCATTTTATCAAACACCTCACGGGCTAACTTTAAGTCCCCAACAAGTGAATACCCATTAATCATCGTGTTCCACGAGACAATATCCCGGCAGCCCATACGATCAAAGACCAATCTCGCAAGCTCGATCTCCCCGCACTTAACGAGCCCATCGAGCATCGAGTTCCAACAAACTGTCTGATGAACAGAACAAAGATCAAACACTTTTTGTGCCGACTTGACATCCTTTGCCACAGCAGCGTACATATGAATAAGGCTACTCTGGATATATGGGTCAGAATCAAGCCCGGTTCGGACAATGTGGGCATGGAGACTGAGGCCACTGGGGACGAGGGAGGACGAAGAGGAGCAAGCTTTGAGGAGGAATGGGAAGGTGAAGTTATTGGGCCGGGTTTGGGTTTGAAGCAGGGAACGGTAGAGGGAGAGGGCTTTGACTGGGGATTTTCCGGCGGCAAGGCCGCGAATGAGGACATTGTACTGGAAAATGGGTGGATATTGGAGGTTGGGGAATTGCTTGAGGATTTGGGCGTGGATTTGGTTGAGGTGTGTGGGGTTTTCGCAAGATTTGAGTAAGGGCCGGAAATGATGAAGATCTTGTGATATCATCAGATATAATTAAGAACTCTTCAGTTCGACGTCTTAACAAACAGGCTATGGGTGATAGTGATTTCTTCCATCGTGTTCTTTGTAGTGATCCTGCCATGGTAATTGATCCCCATTAGAGTTATCATCTCCAAATTCTTTGTACAATTGTGACTATAAAAAATGATTGTGAACGCGAAATTCTCGTGTATTGAGTAATAGCCAATATTTGAAAAGACCTTTGAACGGTACATGCTCTATAAACGGCACATGAGAGCGGAACTAGTACTTAATTGCAGTATATGATAGCTGATTTACTACTTATAAAGGGCATAAATACGCCCGACTGATCTTGAACTGCCCTAGAACAATAATGGATATGAGACAAAATAAAATAATATAAAAAAATATTTTGTATGATACGAGAGAGTTCATTAATATGTTTATCATATCTGCAAAACTAATATTGGATCTCTCAGTCATCAAAATTAATCTCGAATTCATTAATCTAAAGATGAAACAATTGCAATTGTATGATCAACATCTATTTGGATATTTCGTATATGGATCCGGATATTTCACAGCATAACCATATCTGCAACCATGTCCTATTGTTATAAATTTGAATAACCATATTCGATCTCTAACAGACACAGTTACAGATTAGGTACGGATATATAATATAGTTTTACATCTGTATCTGTGTACCTACACAGACAAACTCAAAAAGAAAAGAAAAAAACTCGAAGATGACCTTTGTAATTATAATTAGCAACCTCATAATTTACTTGTATAGAAAAGTAGACTTAAGGTAGTACAATTACATTCAAACGTACGTCAAGATGCGTGAATGTAATTAACCTTCTTTACCCATTTAGAGACGTCTATGATTTCGAGCTGAAGGATCCATTCCATTTTGATTTACATGTCACTGACCTATCAGTATTAAGCATATTCAGTTCTAATTACTCTATACATACATGCATCAGTTGCATAATTAACAATTTTACGACACTGCAATTAAAGGTGCAAGGTTTTGCAAACAAATTTACGACAATACAATTGACCGTACAAGTTGAAGAACCAAAAGAAAGTCTAAATTAGAAGGAGAGGCGAAAAACTCCCAAGAAGTTTGGTTAACTCTTAGATACCTCCCAAACTTGTGAAAAGTAAACATATCACCCAAATATTTTGGATGTGTCACAGAACTCACCAAAACTTTTTACATTTTCCCACGCGTACACAAAAACCTCAAAACGCAGCACCTAGGAGCTGACCGTCATCAACGGGTCGGTGATCGTACAAAGTGGAGAGAGAGCGCTGCACTGACACTGGGGGAGTTGCCATCGCTAGATCTGTCTCGTGAGGTATCTCCCAGGACTCCACCATAGCTCTGTTGCGCCTGCACCGACATCAAGTAATTGTTCGCCCCAGCACAAGACCTGTCACGCCCCGAAACTACAGCGGAATATCATAAAATACGGGGTGCGCGATAGCAGCGACCAATGCCTAAGATAAGTCTTATGCACGGGTCAAGCCTGACACTTCATATCACATAGTTTATTTCAAAATATTCATAAACCTGCTGATGATAGAAGTCAGAGCAACTATATATATGATCGGTACTTACAGCCCACAAGCTCACCGTTATAAGCTTTTTTTTTCAAAGCAAAACAAATTGTGTTGAAGGTAACATCAAAATGAAGAGGCTCTCCATATAACGCCTCTCAGCCAAAAGTTCAATCCAAAAGTCGGCTAGTAGGAAGCTACGCCTGATCTGAAAAAATTTAAAAACAACGGGGTGAGCTAGCACTCAGTGAGAACATTCCCCACTAGAGTTCCTAGATAACTAATAAAATAGTAATAAGAATAATTCTCAGAAATAACAAATTTCAAGTTTTGCATGAGAAATTTCAAAGATAGTAAAATACGATCCAAATATCCTAATATTGTCATTTTTAAGAAAAATACAACAATTATATTTCCTTTCTCATGTGCAACTGAATAAACTATGAAATTTCTTGGAATCAAACCCCTTTTGAATCAAAGTAAGCATTAAGAAGGAAAAGAACTAGTAATTTGTACAAAATCAGAGAATTGTCGTTTTCTCAATTTCACAGTCAATTATCAAAATCTTAAATCTGATGAGTCGTGTTCTTCGAATTCATGTTCAAATCTCAAAATCATAAATCTATTACTGTCAGGCGATGTGGACTTTAGTGGTAGCTTCTACGGGCTCTAGAGGTGGCTCTCACCGCGTTCATACCGTGTAGCACTTAGCCCCGTATAATACTTAGCTCCACATTTCCAGCTAGTAATTCATGAAACATAATAATCACCTCATATGTCACACTAAGGCTACGAATTTTAGCCCAGTAGCAAGGGAATGCGTAAACCGCATCAGATAAAAGATAATTCCCGGGAATCGAATGCACCTAACACTGCCATAGGCTACTGGCCAAATACAGAGGGGCCAGAACAGATTTCAGAAGGGCCAATACAGAAGGGCCAAGGCCAAATACAGAAGGGCCAAATAAATGTGCATTCACCATATGGCAGGCAGAACCAATCCATAGTGGACTATTTGAGGGTTTGAAAACATCGAGATCACATGTCAAATGAGTAATACTTTGCATATCAGAATTTGCAGATAATTTCAAATGAAATCGACAAGGTAAATACTTTGCATATCAGAATTTGCAGATAATTTCAAATGAAATCGACAAGGTAAAGCTCCTCATTTCTGTTAAAATAGTTTACGGATATTTATTTTTTTCTTTTATCCGATACTAAGTGACGAAAAATCTTTGAATCCGTTAAACTATTGAAACACTTTCCAAATACTTCATCAAAAACTTTCAGATAAACCAAAGTCCATAATTCTTTGAAAATTGCACGAGAGCCAAATTTATTTTTCATATTTTACATAAAGATCAAATTAGCTTTTTATATATTGTACGAGGCTAACATCGTATTATAGGATAGACCATAACAGAAACAGGTCAAATCTTTATATACATGAAAAGACATATTATTTTTTTATCACAAGATAAATCAAATATAAAACTCATGCAATTTCATATTATAAAATACTAGTGAGAAATGAACTCACCTCTAGTGGTCACGACTTTCTCAAACTATTATTCTCCCGAATATCAACCAGAACCTATAATGTAAGATATATGACTAATTATTAATTCAGAACAAACATATATTATAGGTAAATCAATTCATAATCTAGAGTCTAATAAATTCAAATATAATCAATAATGATTAAATTTTACAGTACATATGAACTTATTGTTAATTTTAGCAATTTATCAAAATTTATAACTCTCGTATACTAGTTTCTGGACTTCCTAATAATTTCTGATAAGACAGGGGTTATAGGGAATTTTTCAAGTCTAAAAGTTAACTTTTATTCTTCAGACTAGACTTATTTACAAATTGAGTAAGTAACAGGGGCTAAACAGATATTTTTCAGCCATTTCAACCATTCCACATTTTACTAAGGTCTGTTTGAAACTTTTACATAGTTCAAGGGCTTAAGGCAAAATTTTCCTCCCTTTATAATAATTTCAACAGATCATCTTCTTCCTCCCTTCTTCGTTCCCCTTTTTTTTTCTTTTCTTTTTTTTTCTTTATTTTTCCGTTCCTCTCTTTCTCCTCCTCTGTTCTTTTTTTTTCGGTTTTCTTCTCTTCTTCCTCTCTCTCTCTCTCTCTCTCTCTCTCTCTCTTCCTCTCCTTGTCTCGCCAAAACAACAAGACTGCGGCAAGGAATCACCGGCGAACTGAAGCGGCCGGCGGTCAGATCCCCGACGAAACTAGGGTTAGTCTATTTTTCTTTTTCTTCTTTTTTTTCAGTTTGTTTTCTTGCATCCTAAACACATAAAAAATCCTTTGTAAACCCTAGATTTTTAAGTTCATGATCATAACAACTTAACTCTCTTACTTATTCTAATTGATTCGATTTACTATGAAATTGAAAGGATATTATACCTTAGGAGCTTGATTTCCAATTTCCCTATCTTCTTCCTCTTCTTCTTCTTCTCTCTTTCTTTCTTTCTTTTTTTTTACCCGAATTCCTCACCCTCTCTTCCTCCCTTAAATACAGTTGGGAGGCGGTGAGAATGTAAGCGGTGGAGAAAATCTCCGCCACAAAATTTTATAATATTTTATTTATTTATTTATATTTATTTTTATTTTTTCCTGGCTATTACAAGACCTACGCATGTCCCTTACTGCAAGCGCTAGGTCCTCCGTCTCTGCTCGTGGCCGCTGCTGCGGGTGCTGCTGGCCTCCGCGCCTCCCGCTGACCTTCCAGGTTCCATCTAATGCTCCTGGAACGCACATGGTTCCCGACGACTCTTAACGTCCGGCTGCTCTGCAACTTCTCAAATCCATACACCAACAAAAATTTAATAATTGTTAGATATCGAACTGGCATACATGAAATGTATCTTGGAGACAGATCCAGACCTACACACTGGATAGACTCGGAGCTACACGCTTTCAAACTTCATTCAAGTCTTTAATTCCAAGGTAAACTTCTGCTATAAAAAAACATTGCAAATAACCAAAATTGAATTGCAAAACCAGGTTAGAAACGCAGGTCTGAGAAAGTGGTAACCACGTGATCACTGCCCCTAGAACAATAGTCGTCATCTTCACAGAGACGATTCGATGAAACCACATCTAGCAATAAGAACCCCCCGAAAGGCTGGCACCAAGGTTTACTGTGAACTTTGGTCTCTTGCTCAATGGATATTTGCCCGACAAATTAAAACTAGAAATCAAATAATATTATAGAGAACTATGAGAGAGAGAATAGAGATTACTCACTTTTCTCTTATTTTTCCATCCTTCCTCGATATCCCTTTTACAGCCACCTTGATTTTCCCCGTTGAAATAATTGTTGTTGCGATCCCGTAGCTTGCAAAGGAAAGAGCGGAACAAAGGAATTTAGGGGATTTTTTTTTTCAAAAAAGAGTTGTTGGCATCGCAGGACATGGATGAGAGAAAAAAAAGGAAAGAAATAAAAGTTATGCAAATACACCCCTCAACAGATCATATTTGCATAAGAATTAAAGAAAGGAACTTAATTTTTTTATTAATTCCAACAATTACCCCCAAAAGATTGAGTTTCAAGGAATAAAAGAAAAAATTAACAACAACAATAATGATAACAAAATATAGATCGGGCAACCTCATATTGTGAATTCGACAAAGGTAGCTTTCGGCTTTGAATCTTTGCTCAATGACATTTGTCGCAATCTAAGAGATATAATGGATTAGGCCTTGAATTAGGCCAATTGATCAGAAATTAACAAAATCACACATAATATACATCCATTTATTGAGCGAGCAGGTCGGAGCGTTAATGGTCATGCTCACAATAACCGTCTCATAAGAGTTACTAGGAATCAGCCTCATATCCCCAATTACGGCCTTCACGGTTCTTCTCACGTAGGTAAGTCCTCTGATACATGTGTATATTCTCTTCGGAAAAACGATCCTCATGGGAGCTTGAGGATAGGTGATTCTCATGATATCTTAAGAATAACGGTGTGAAGAGACACGACGGAGCACAGGTGGAAGCGTGGAACGAGACGACGAGCAGCAGATTCGAAGAATCCAGATTTCAGCTTGTGAGTCGACTCATACATGTACATGAGTCGACTCATCAGGTTGAGTCGACTCATGCCTGTCATGAGTCAACTCACGAAACCCAACCGTTTTGTCAAAAGTTTCTGCTCGGTCGACTCATCAGTTTATGAGTCGACTCATCAGTCATGAGTCGGTCGACTCATCAGTTTATGAGTCGACTCATCAGTCATGAGTCGACTCATATGCAGTCATGAGTCGACTTATCGAGGTTTCCTGGGCAGACTTGGTTTCTATTTTGAAGGAATCCTAGTTAGGTTTGGTTTTGGTTATTTACCAGATTTCCACCACGTTGTAAACCCTATAAATAGGGACTGTTTAGGGTTCTAAACAGAAGGTGAGAGGCCAAAATATAGATCTAAAGGGTTTTAGGTCTAAGTGAGATCCTAATCAAAAGGATTAGGGTTTAGATTGTGATCCTCTTAGATGATCTTAGAGATCTTAGATCAGAGAGGGAATTAAGAGAGATTCTAATCATTGTATTAGGGTTTAAAGAGGATTGAGAGGTTGTTCTCGATTCTAGTGAGATTGTGAGTGAGAGATTTGTAATAATTGATTCTTCATAATCTAGAGAATGTATTTTCCTTCGCCATACTGAATTGTTCTTGTGTTTTGATTATCTTCTTCTCAACCCACCTTTTGGTAATTCCGCGACCAAATGATGCTCGCACAGTGACTCGGATCATCCTCCAAGGGTACTGTGACTGGATTTATACCCCCCCACAAAGGTTAAGACTTATAAGAGTAGAACTCATCCTGCTCAGTCATATCATAAGAGCGTTGTCACCATAGGGATGAGGGAGTAGCTAACTTGGTGCAAGTCATAAATACATCCAACACTACTAAAGGAGTATAACTCCAAAGGTCAATGCTCCACACGAGATCACCAATCCAGCTTGTTTCTACCACATTGAACCTTTTCCATGAAAATAACTTATCAATCAAAGGTTAGGTCTACACACAAAAGGGAGCTCAAATATAAGGCTCTTCAACCATTCAGCTTCTGAGCAACAAGAATCTAAAAGGTATAAGCTCAGACTCCATGGTACTTCTGATAATCATTGTTTGCTTACAAGACTTCCCAAATATAGCAACACCACCAAGCATGAAAACAAATCTAGAAGTAGAATTCACATTATCAGCATCAGAGACCTAGTTAGCATTACTATACCCTTCAATCACATCAAGGTATCCAGTATAAGTTAAATAATAGTCTGACTGGGTTTCCCATTTCGGGTCAGATTAGTTTGTTTCAG